CGCCATGGAAAATGAGAAACTAGAGACATTTATAGCTAAATGGATGCACAGTGAAGCCATACTCTTAAGTGAAATAAATAGGACACGCATGTGTAATTACCAAATAGTTTCCCTGGTGGGAAAAACTAAAAGTATAAATAAGGTTCAAATTGTATAATTGATAATGTGAAATAGGAAGGAAAGGGCTAAAGCAGTAGGGGAAGTAGGAGGGGTAGGGGAGGGGAAAGACAAGAAGGGAAAATAAAAACTATGAGAAAAGGAAGAACTGGAAACAAAGTCTTTGTAAATAGGGAAGAGTGGAGGGGGTGAAGGGAGGGCAGGCACATAGAGAAGAAATAAGAACCAAGATACATCATGTAAAGGTACAAGATCCCAATGATGAATGTAACTGTACTGTAAACCTAAAAAGTACCAATAAACTTAATGGGGAAAAAAACAAACACATACTGGGCAGTTCCACTTGGATAACACACATACTTCTTAAAATATTGATAACTACTCATTTTTCCTCAAAACATTTCCTTTTCTTCCTGTATTCTTTTTCTTAACAATTTACCTATTTCCCAAGCCAAAAACCTAGGCCAGTGGTGGCAAACCTACAGCAAGCATCCGCAGCAGGCTGTATCACTGAAAACATTAAAAGGTTCACTATCACTGACCTAGAATATATCACAGATTTTACTCACTCTACTCTATAAAAGGTTATCATAACCTGGTAATTTCACCTGCTAAATATCTTTCACTCCTATCTCAATCCAAGCAATCTGATGTTTCTCTCTACAACAGCTTTAATATAGGCAATCATCACTTTTTAAAATTTGTTCTCAGGGGCTGGGGATTTAGCTCAGTGGTGCGGCTGCCTTCCTTGCAAGTGCAAGGATCTGAGTTTGATCCTAGGTACTGAGAAAAAAAATTTTTTTTTTTTTGTTCTCTTTGCCTCAATCTCAATACCTTCAGGTTCTTGTCAGTAACAATGTCAAGATGTGACTAACACAAGTTTAGTGTTATTAGTTTCAAAGAGTTTTAATTGCTCCCAATCTTCTTGAATATGAAATTTATTTTACATGAACTATAAACCATATATGCAATTTCACCTGGCAAGCATAATACCTACTCTCCAACCCCACTCCCATCTTCTATTCATCCTACAAAACTCAGCTCAAAAATTACAAACTTTCTCTGACCACACTTTCAGGCTCAGATAGATCACTGTCTGCTGAATCCACAACATAGTGCTGGCAAACAGAAAATGATCAAAAAGTTCCTATTTGTGAAATACGTAAAAAAAAAAACTTCAGGTTTCCACCTCTGAAGGCCACTGAAATCAATTACATAAAAATGTCTTTAGAAGGCTTCAAAGTTATATTTAAGGCAAAGAAAAAATTCATACAAATACTTGCAAACAAATCAGCTACTTGTATCAAAAACTACTCTGAAGCAAGAAAATTTGTATTTAAGGTCTAAGAAAAGAAAAATAAGCAGGAAAAAGAAGGAATAAATTTATTGCTGATATTATTTAACCACTATCTTTAAATGACAAAGTGAAATTATAGCCACTATAAGAACAGTTTATGCAAAGATATTTATAAATTAAAAAAGTAAAGTGGAGAACACTATGAGGCAAAAATACAAAGACAGAAAATAAATATCAATAAATAAGACACTACCCATTATTAGTACTCTTTTCCTGTTTGTCAAAAAAATTTGAAATCTTAAAAATTCCGCTTATTAAAAAAATTTACAGCCAAGTATTAGCGTCAAAAAAGTACTAATATTAAAAATTTCATATAAAGACAAAATATAAACCATCTCACTTCATTATTCTTTTAAAGGTACTGGATAAGGAGACCTACCTTTGAAAGCCCATATGCAATTTGAACTGTATTATATTAAATTCTTGAGTACTTCAGAATAAGTATTTTTCTGGTAATACTTGTAAAGACTCTATAAAGGCCCAGGTTATAGACCCTATAAAGACCCTAGACTATTAACTAACAAATCTACAGCTGGAAAAGCTTCTTAGGCTTAAAAAAGGATTTGCCTTATGGTTACCTAGCACCCAAAGAGGAAAAATAAAGCCAAAAACATACGTTTCCTACAGAACAAAAGCCCAAAATGCCACTGCTGTGAAATTTACCAGGGAAACTTTAATTCTCCCAAAATATCTCTTGAAAGTCAAGGTTTCTTCTTAAAGCAATCACCACTATTTGGCTTATTTCATCCTTATTTTAATTTTTTTCCTTTTATTGAGTTTATTGATACATTTAAGGTATACAGTACAATTATGTTCATTATTGGGATCGTGTACCTTTGCATGACAGGTCTTGGTTCTCATTTTTTTCCCCTTGTCCCTGCTCTCTCTTCACCCCCTCCTCCCCTCCCCATTTACAAACATTTTATTTCCATTTTTTCATTTTGTCATATTTTTTTCTTTTCCCTTATTATCTTTCCCGTACCCTTCCCATTTTCCCTACACCTTTAGCACTTTTCTTCCTATTTCACATTGTCAATTATATCATTACGATCTTATGTACTATTATAGTTTTTCACACCAGAGAAACTATCCAGTATTTACACATGTGTGACTTTATTTCACTTAGGAGTATATCCTCAAAATGTACCCATTTACCTATGAAAGAATCTACTTTCTCATTCTTTATGGCTGAGTAGTATTCCATTTTATAGAAAAACCACATCTTCTTTATCCAGTTTCGAACTGATGGGCAAATGGGCTGTTTCCAAGTTTTAGCTATTACAAACTGTGCCGCTATAAACATTGGTGTGCATATATCACTGTGGTATGAGTCTTTTAATTCTTTTGGAAAGATACCCAGCAGAGGGATGGCTAGGTCAAATGGAAGCTCTAGTACCAGCTCTTTGAGGTATCTCCATATTGATTTCCATAGTGGTTGCACCAGTCTGCACTCCCACCAACAGTGAAGGGTTGCATTGCAGGTAGAAAGGAACCCTCATCCTTATTTTAAAGCTGTTACACAAAGTAAATTCTCAATTCCTATAAGAAGGTCCCTAAATCAGTACCATTGGTTAAGAAGGCAAGATTCTTTAATTCAACAAATTTTTATACTGCATGCACTACATTTAAAATTATGTATCAGAGATAATCACAATAATTATTTTCACTGTTACAGCAAAGACTAGGCACAATTACTAAATATTTCTCTAGCCAATTTTCAAATAAAAGCTAATTAGCTTTAATGAAGGTCCCTAGATGAGAAATGGGCTGACTCCAACTTTGTACATCACCTTTTCAAAATTCCAAATACATTTTCCAATAGAAATAACATAACAATGGCAATTAAATTCTCAGGGTAGCCCACAAAGGCCCATAACACAGAAGAACCATACTCTCCATATGAATTATTAGAACTGGGAAGTCCGTTCTAGAAATTGTTGCTGAAATTATAAAATAGGATTTGATATTTTATAAATGAGTGTCTTACAATTAAAACAACCTAATTCTTTTTAAAAAACTATTTAAATTTACTTATTACTTTCAATAGGTGATATAATGAAAATCAGTATCAAAGCAAAGACTATTGATTACATTAATTACCTGAAATAAAAAGGTATAGTAGCTAGCTCCCAAAAATGGCCCACTAGTTTTCATTACCAGGTTCCACTGTTTATTAAAGAAACAAAGATAGTTTGTTAAAAACTGACAGAATTAAAAAAAAAAAACCTGATAGAATCACGCTGTACTTAGTAACACACACCTGTAATCCACACCCATAACCCAGCACTCTAGGGGCTAAGGCAGGAAGATCACTGTGAGTTTGAGGCTAGCCAGGGTCACAGTGATTGCTAGGCCAGTCTGAACTGCACAGTGAGACCCTATTACAAAAACAAAAGCAAAAAACTTGATAGAACCAAAACACTAACAGAAAAAGTTCCTTAGAAATCTAAAATTCCAATTTTGTTAGTCAAATTTTAATTACAAAATCTTTATAATAATGAAGGCAAACATTTAAATATCACAGAAATAAATCCTTTGGCAAAAATTTTAGAGCAAACAGTACATGACATTGCAGGCATACCAAACTATACTAAGCAGAAATAAAAATTTAAAAATTTTACAATAATATCCCTGAAATATCTAATTTCAAAACAAAAGAAAATTAAGAAGAGGTTTTTTTCCTACTATTTTAAGAGTTAGCACGGCATCTTAAGAGAAAAAGTCAACAGTAATTAAATGTTAAAATTTTCAACTCAGGAAATATTTTGGGAAAGAATTTTATTTGTATACATTAACTTGAGCTTCTCTTATAACACCCTTTTCTGCTCTACACATCTCATGAACCACAATTTAATTCTATTTTACAGCTGAAAAAAATCCTGAAATTCCAAAAGAATAAAATATATTACTAAAACTTAAATTCAGATAGACAGTATTTGCTTTGACGCCCAGCTCAAACTTCTCACTCACTACGTTACTGTTCAAAACAAGGTTTAACACGGTCACTGTAGGTCTTTAATATTTGCTGTTAATTGGGTGGCTCTGGATAGTTTATTAATACCTCATGGGCTTCACCAAAGGGTAAGCTGAATTACACATCCCAAAAAGAAAGGATGTTTCTGAGTGATATATCATCTACATGAAGAGCACAAATTTCAACATAATAGCTGGTGTTAATTTTTAGGAGCAAAACAAATAAGTTTTTCAACTCTGGTTTGACCAGCTTCGCATTTTTAAAAGGGACAAAAAAAGGCGAGCGTACAATACACCTAGCTGAATTAACTGAATCGGCTTACTCCACGAACTTCATTCCAAAATCAAGAAGACTGGGGAGTGGAAAAAATCAATTTGTCTCGGACCTCTCAAGCGGAAACTACAAAAAGCTCTTGTGGAACACCCCACGGACTCCAATCTGCAAAGGTGAGCACATAAAGAAAACGAGAGGACAGAGGTCGGAGTGAAAGACTGGGTCCAACCAGACCAGGCGTGCTCACGGCGCCTCCTCCTGACGCGGGCCAGAGCTCACCTCTTTGACAGGTGGGAATTTCTTCTTGCACTCCAGTGACAAGGCCCGCAAGTCGCTCTGCATATTCTCCAGCAGCTTCTTCACCGCCTCGGGGCTATTGGTGCCGGACATGATCCCCCCAGGTCCGAGCTGATTTCTGAGCCACACAAATAAGCTCTGGCGCTGTCAGCTGCTCGGGGCAACGCGCAGCTCCCCTCCGGCGTCCCCAGACCCGGGTGCAGCTCAGCTCTTGGGCTAGCAGGACTCTGCCGGGCCTGGGCTGCGAACCAGGAGCGAGCCGAGCGCCCCGCGCAGCCTCCTCGTAACACCCCCGACTCTAGTCGGGGGCGCACCCGCAGTC